CCCCAAAACCCCAAAACCCCAAAACCCCATTTTGGAGAAAAATTTTTGAAATAAAAATAAAATATGGAAGCTGATGATTTTGCACCATTTTTAACAGATAGAGTGGTGAGGAATGAGATGTTGGAGAAGAGACAGGCTTCTACACGAAAGAAAGTCTCTCGCAAGAGTTTGCAGAATAAGCTAGCCCATCAGTAAGAAACTTCAAGTAGGGATTAATTATTATAGCGTTATTGATAAGTACAATCAGAAGAAAGTAGCTAATCCTAAACAAATCAAAAGAAGAATAACGTCTCAGTACAAGAGTATTGAAAATTTTGAAAGATTCCATCACCGCAGGGTCATGAGTGCTATCGATGACCGATTTGTGGTACAGTTGGATAATTAACTTTAGCTAAATTCTACTAAATAAGCACTTGCTGAATAACAATGATCAAATTCAAACCATAAGTGTAATTCTATTTCATAACCCATAGGATTTTATGAGAGATAGAGCAATAAAATTTCAACAGTTAGATAATGAGCTTAAAAATGTGCTAAAAATGCCAAACAACAAGATTGTAAGATGCTGGCTCCCTCATGTCATATCCTGTTTAGATAAATAGGGGTGGAAAATTAGCAGTATTGATATCCCCTTCAGTCGTGGAGAAAGTCACGAAAATCTCTCAGAATGTACTGAAATAAAAATGAGAAGGTCTTCAAATCCAAGAGTATCTCAAACCTGACTCTAAAGGATGGGTACCTTAAGCTGGGGAATCTCAATCATATCAGTAATTTTAAGGTATTTTATAGTATGACCATACTGTAGCAAACTCCAAAACCAAATTTGAACATTGAAACAATCCCTTATTCTCCAAAATCATCTATTCTGGGTGAAATTATGGAGCATAGAATTCAAGCACAGACCACTAAAAGTTGTCAGAGGAAGCCTCGTAGGAAGATCCGTGTGAAGAAGAGCAATGAGTTCCTTCTCTCAACAAAGATGATGAAGATAACCAAATACTTGGAGAAATATTCCGCTGCTAGGGACGATTAGTCTGACTCTCGTTAGGAGCACATGAAAGCTATTTCAATGCAGACTTTATATCTAGGGGTTTTGGGGTTTTGGGGTTTTGGGGTTTTGGGG